AAGCTGTTCAGGACCTGGAATTTCTAGTGACAAATTATAGCCAGCCAGGAGTCAGACAGTTTCAGAAGCAGATTAGACAGCCGAATGTCCCTGATGTCTACAGCCACCAGGAAATCACTCCTGAAGACCCCAAAGCTGTTCAGGAGGCTGGCTCACCCTAGAACCAAAGGCTACTTGGGGAGAGGCAGACATCTGCCTGAGGCGTTTCTCCAGAAGAACAGTGCATCCTTGATGACGTGAATTTAAATCTTCCGTAAAGCTTTAAAGGCAAGCTCCAAGGGGATGTGATCAGTCACGGAGGGCACTGAAAGTTGTAGGCTGTAGGTGTTTCATTGTTCGTTGGGTGCCCCTTTGGAAATTGGGTCAATTACTTGGTATGGACAGATAGTGGGGTAGTGGGTTACACATTGAGCTGGCAACCTGAAGGTCAATCGTTCAAAACCACCACTAGTCACTGTGGCAGAAAGGTGAGGATTTCTACTTCCATAAAGTTACAGTCTGGCCAACCTACAGGAGCAATTCTACCCTGTCATATAAGGTCATTATGAGTTGTAATCATCCTGATGGCAGTGAGTTTGTGAAATTCCATGTAATCACTTCAGCCAACACCATCACATCTCCCATCTGAAGAGATTATTCCACCTTTGCCTATTTGCCATTGAGAAAAGTCTTTACCCCTCCCCCTCCCCCTACATTTGAACAGATTAGCCCAAGGGTGTATGCCAATATGGCCCCTGGAGTGTTTACTGGAGCATCCTCTGAGAACAAGACATGATAGAGTGTTCCAAAGGAACACCCTCACCATCCACGATTGCTTCTAGACCCAGAATCAGAGTTTATTCCCTGGTAGCCCCAGTAGGCAAAGTACAGAGTGTGACTCAGAAAGACTGCACAGTGGCCTACATGTTACAATACTAAACCTACCTTGATAATTTGTAGAAGGTACCAAAGGCTTAGGTAAATTAATACATTAGAGTGGGTTTACCAGGAGAGGCCCATAAACCCTTGCATTGAGTATCTATAGGAAACACCTTTTTCTTTTCACCCCTGGTTGCAGAACCACTGATTCAAGAAGCAGTGTCCGGACAAATCCCTGGCACTGGAAACACACCTTCTCAAGAGATGTATTAAGTTCAAGAGGCACGGCGTTTATCTTGCTATTTCACTTGTACCCATCATCAAAACACACTCGGATAAAGAGCTGTTTGATTACATGCATGAAATGTTTCCAAGTGTTACTCTTTTTCAGCATGCACTAAGACATTTCCCTACAGAACTGAGAGAGCTCAAGAAGTTGCCCCATGACCTCTTGAAAGAAATCATTCCCAGGTTTGGCTTCCCTCATAGTCTGAGTAACCATAAGGAGGCTCGTTCTTTCTCAACAGTTGTTTAAGGCATATCTTGTATCCTAGGAGTAAATTAGCAACTCCGTTCTGCTGGGAAAACACAATCAGGAGGAAAGAGACTGAACCAAAAGCAGAAGAGGTAGCTCAGCAAACCATGTCAAAGAACACGGTTGCAATGGACTGATACTTTGCCTTTAGTTTTATTGAGAGTTGGACAGCTCCCAGGGAAAAATTGAAATTAAGCCACTTTTGAGCTAATGAACCTTAGTTGCTCACTATTCAGACTCATGTGCCTTCAAGCCAGTTAGACTTGTATTTGTTTTCTTTTTGCTTTCTTTAACCTCAGTTCTATCCCAGACACATCAGGCAGTGAGAGTAAGACAGCTGCTCCCTTTACAAGTCATAATCCACTGTTTCCAACCAGGCTAGAAGGGGCTCCCTTCCATCCTGGAAGAATGCTCTCCTTCAGTCAACCCGGCTTGGAAGCTCAGGGGAGTGAAACCTTGGATTTGCTGAGACCCACAAGACTGAAGGTGAACCCAGAAGCAGGCTCTTCAAACCCCTCAAGACTTTGAAAAAAAAAAATATATATATATATATAATTTTTCCTATCTTACACTGTCCGATGTATCCCTTCACCCATAGTTCTGTTAGTCATCCCTACTGAGGCAAGTTATACATCCAACATTGCTATTAAGACCTTTCCCCGACCCCCCTCCCAGAGGGCTGCAACTCACATTACTGCTTCTGAGGGGTTTATCTATTCTGGATTTTGTGTATCGAAAGCTTTTATCTGTACCAATTTACAGATGCTGGTCTAACAGGATTTGTGAGCTAGAACTGGGGCCATTATAGTGGGGGGAAGCATTAAAGAACCAGAAGTGTGTTTCGTCAGTGCTATACTCCACCCTGGATCACATAAATCTTCTACACATGTAACCTAATACTGGAACAAACTTGGTAAAGGCTTAAGACAATTTAAACAGAAAAAAAGTATGTGTCTCAAAAAGCAGAGACCCTGACCAAGTTATGAAGCTGGAAGCCAGAAATTAGATGAAGATTGGGTTTTTCCCTCAATATAAATTCTTGTACTGAAGAGTTTAGGACTTTGTCTTTGGAGATGTCTTATAGTCTGCTGCAGGGGTGAGCTTGAGTGAAGATGAACCTTTTATATGAAGAGGCTTAAAACATCTTCAAAGGCATTTAAGCAGAAGTTTAGGTGCCTCCAGTTTTTTTGTTTTAAACTACTGTAATACTCGAGTATAAGCCGACACCAATAGCTGAGGCACCTAATTTTACCTACCACATGAAACTGCATTAAAAATGTGCTGAAAAACTCGGCTTATACATGAGTATATGCGGTACAATTGTTTTGTTTTGATAGGGATTCTGAGCATGATTTTATCCCACATGGCTCTGTCTGAGATGTATTCCTTTTCATCTCAGTACCACTACTTCAGCAGTGTTGATCAGGGGGATTTCCTCTCCTTTTAGAAGTGAACACATTTTGTAATTCTGTAATTCACTTCTAGGCTTTCAATTTTGCCACTACTAGTCCCTATCTGCAATACCTGTTTTACCTACAACCTTGCTGCTTCTATTACCTCACATTTAAGATTCCAGTTCTTTCAGTCTTTCTCACACATATTCTCCCCCTCACCCACCACTCATCTCAGTTTGTGGTATCCTACTTGTTGCTATGATGCTTAGTTATGACATCGGTATTTCAAATAACAGCAGGGTTACAAATGGAGAATTTGTTTTAGCAGAACTTCCAGACAAGCATCAGACTAGGAAGAAAAAAATAGGATGTCCATTTATGAATTCACCACTGAAAACTCTTAAGAATACTGAAGACTCTTAAGAATAGTACCTGAAAATGTTAAAGTGTTAAAGAGCAAACATGTCACTTTGAGGACTAAGGTGCCCCTGACCTAACTCATGGCATTTTTAATCTCCTATGCATGTGAAGCTGGACAATGTAATAAGGAAGACTGCAGCTACTAATATTAAGAGGTTCAGCGATTAGTGTTAAATATATCAGTTCTGTTCTTGAGACCATCTTCATTATTTTTCCTCAGCTTCAACTTGAATCTGAAATAACATTTCACAGATTTAGTCATGTGATCCTTTTATATTCATATCTGTCAAAGTCCATTTGTATTAGTTGTCATTAATGTCAAGATATTTATAATGAATAAGTCATTGTTCCTGCAAAATGCTATCATGCAATCTCTTGTCATTAATATAACCAAGGCCGTATTTTCTAAATATGGATTCTTGTTCATTTCCAACTTTCACATTATGTGTTAGGCTGGGATGTCTAAAGAAAAAAAATGCACGAGAAAGAACAATATCAAGAATGCATCCCAGGCTTGTCCAACTCTAGTCCAACTCAAGTCCGATGCTAGATGCGGCCCTCTTCAGACTCATGTAGCTCTAGGCAGATGGTGCAGAAAGGTGAATTGAGATGCAGCTAGATCACAAGCCATTAAGTGTAAAGTCACCTGGATCCAAATTCGGTGGAAACATGGCAGGGTGCTGACAGCTCTCAGGGTCAAGTGTCCTACAAGGGGTGGCCTGGAACAGCAAGCAGGAAGGAAAAAGCTGCAGAGAGAGAAAGGATGTTCCCAGTGTCTCTGACTTTTCTACAAAAGGGGTTATGACACCAAGGCCTCCTGGCCTGTTGATCCAGTGACCTCAAAAGGGCTAGGAGACATTTTTAACTGCCAGTCGTTCTTTGTCTGTAAGGAAGAGTATTCTGTCCTTTGGAACTAAGACTTCCAGACTTGAAGAGCATAGGATCACAGGGAAAGGAAGCAAAAATATTGCAAGGGGTCACTAAGAGTAATACTGAGAGGTGCACTTCCATTTCTACCCTTGCCTTCTTGGACCCGTGACTCTTGGCAATTGGAGAAACAGCACCAGCACATACTGGAAACCAGTTTAGGGTATACACAGCTTCCTGGAGAGTATTGCCCCAAACCTGGACGGTACTGCTACTTAGCTGATGCAATAAATGTGTCTTCAGAAGGTCATTCCATTTTTTTATCAATCCAACTGCTTCAGGATGGGAGGGAAGATGGTGAGACAAATAGGTCCCATGAGCATAGGCCCACTGTCATATTAACTTTCTGTAAAGTGAGATCTGAGGTGATGTGCAGGATGTCATGTCAGTGGTATGGCATTCTGTAATTCCATGAATGGTAGTTTTGGCCAAAGCACTGCATGCAGGGAAAGCAAATCCATATCCAGAGTAAGTGTCTTATTTGAGAATGAACAAAATTCTTGTAAACTTGATTATGGGAGATGTAATTAGGTTAAATGTGATACCCGATCATTTGATAGCCCTTTTAACCCATTTAAATTTTGTTCTAGTTTTTAGTATTTCCTGCTCTTTTTTCTCGATTGAGTTTTTCTCTGGTTTATTTAGTTATTATTGGTGGTCTTTTTTCCCCCTGCTTCTTTTTCCGTGGGTATTTTTACAATATATGAAATCCAAGATAGGTAAATCTATAGAGACAGTAACTTAATTAATGGCTTATTGGGTGCTTGGGATGGGAGGTTAGAGAGAAATTGGGAGCTAATAATAAATACAAGAAGGAAGAAAATGTTCTAGAACTGATTGTTGTAATGATTATATAACTTTTTAATATGACTGAAATATGGAAGTGTATGATATGTGAATAAAAACTATTAAAAAGAGAGAGAGAGAGAAAGAAAGAACAAAATGCTGCCCCGTTTCAACTGCCATCAGGTTGCTGGTTGGTATCCCAAAAGAATGGTGCCAGTATCTCAGATTGCGTCAGTCTCTGCTGCTGGCAGATTGGTACTCAGCAGTGGCAGTAGCCAAATCAACTTTGATGAGTGAAAGCATGCTACTGATCCCAGGAATAACCTCCATCCCTGCCACCCTGGCAACTTTATTGATGAGCCCCCTGGGCAATGGCAGGAGTACCTGGGGAAAGAGAATGACTGGTTTCCATAGAACAAGCTATCCTACCACTTGAATGTTAAACTTTTCCTCTACTGAGATAATTGGTGAGCAGTCACATTAGGCACAAACAACTTCACTTCTTTGGGCCATTCAGAGAGGTCTATTCACATACCTCCTCTTCACACCTCATCACCAATTTTCCAATCATACTCCTTCCAAGTTTCTGACCATCTAGTCAAGCGATTGGCCACAGACTATGCATTTTTGTATAGTCTCAAATGTAGCCATTTCTTTTTTCCAAGCAAAATTAACAACCAGATGTCATGTTCAAAGTTCTGCCCATTGGGAAGATTTCCCTTCACTACTGTCCTTCAGGGAGGTGCCAGAGAAGGGCTGTGGTGCTGCTGTTGTACTGTGCACTTTTGCATGTAACTGCACATCATGCAGAGCTTCTGGAAACCAAGTATGCTTTTTTCTTTTCCTCAGTCAACAGATCATAAGGCACTCCCCATGGGGTCATGCAGACTAGAACAAAGACAGTACTGTGATAGGAATGAAAACCATGAGCATTTGAGCCGTTTCTTCATTCAATTTACTTGTACCTCCAGAGTCTGCTCTAGATCAATCTCTTACATACCACTTCCTTTTAATGATGGAGTGCTGCTGCAAATGTCCACCCTTACGATTCTAAGTCAGACACTACCTTGTTCATGATAAGCAGAACAGGCTGCGTGGTGATTTGGTGGCTCGTGGTGAGGCTTTCAACCTCTACTACCATATTGTCAGGAGAGATTAAACCCTGGCGAAGGACATCATACTTGCTAAAGTAGAGGGGCAGCGAAAAAGATGAAGGCCTTTAAGACAGATTGACACAGTGGCTGCGACAATGGGCTCAAACATAAGAAAAATTGTGAGGATGGTTCAGGACCGGGCATTGTTTTGTTTTGTTGTAAACAGGGTCAGTATGAGTCAGAACAAACTCGACAGAATCAAAGACAAGGCCCAGTAACAAACCAAAAGCCATTTCTCAAAAGGTGAGTAGTTGCCTGTCAAGTGGCAGCACTTGGCTCCAAAAGCCAAAGGCCTGTACTCTGATTCACCATAAAGGCCTGCTGAGGATTCCAAACTGCATATCTATCTGCCACTTAGACTTCAACCACGATTGGTTCAGCTGGATCATACGGCCCATGTGGTAGAGCAACCTGTACAGTAGCCCGAACTTGCTGCAGGGCCCGACTCAAAACTAGCAGCTTTTGGGGTCCATTATTAGGTCAGAGTTGCACACTGGGATATGCTGCATTTGGAATCCAAAGAAGCCCACGAACTATCATTCATCCTTTTTAGTTGTGGGAAGGACAAGTTGCAATAATTTATCGTTCACTTTAAAAGAATTATCTCCACAAGTCCTACATCATTGGACCCCTAGAAATTTAATTGAGGTAGTAGGCACCTAAATGTTTTGTCAATTTCTCATCCATAGTATGTTGATAAGGAGCCCAGGTAACATAGTGGCTTAAGCATGGAGCTAATACCCACCAAGGTCAAGAGTTCAAAACCAGTTACTTCAAGGGAATTTGCACCCACAAAAAGCTATAGCCTCAGAAACCCTCAAAGTGAGTTCTACTTTGTCCTACAGGGTCACCATGAGTCAGAATCAACTAGCAGGTTGATGTTTTAGCAATAAGTCTAGAGTTATTGATACTTTTCTTTAGTAGATCCAATGAGCACAGTGTACTCAATGTAATGGACTAATGTAATATGTTGTGGAAGGGAAAGGCAACCAAGGGGTTGATATGTGGATTCAACAAGTACAGAAAGAATGAAACAAAAGAATGCTGCATGATTCTTGAAATTCTATAGGTAGAATATGGCTGAAGGTTTTCTAAGCAAAGATAAAGACCAAACTAAGGAATACGAGCAGAACTTTTAGAAGAAGCAAAGGAGACAATTTTCTGTTTCAAACGGAAGAATCTTTACCAACTCAGTTCCGGTCTTGAGCTACCATCAAGATGTGCCAGAGGGATGAGGTCTCTCCCAAAGCTGAGGAGGTAGGGATGCCATGCTTCAGAAGCAGAAGATGAGCCTGCTAGAGCAGGGTTACCAGGTAGATTGACCAGGAGAAAGGAGTCATCATAGCCAAAAGTGCTGGTGGTGCTGTTGAAGTTTTGGGTTGCTAACCCCCCAAAAAAGCTAGTGGTTTAAAGCCACAAGCTACTTAGCTAATTAGAAAGAAGATAAGCCTAGCTGTTTCCATTAAGATTTACAATCTTGGTAACCCTAAATATGATTGTTATAAAGAGGATTAACTCAATGGCAGTAGGTAAACATGGGTTTTTTCCCCCAGACTGCCTCCCCCAAATATATGTCAAACCTAGGACACTGCTTTTATCACATGGAAAATGACTGTATACTTGCTCAATGTAAGTTGCTTAGAGGTTATTCTCCCTGAGGGTTATCAGCCATCTAGAGCAATCAGACTGTATAGTCTGTCCCACCCTAAGTAAGGCCCACTCCCTTCTGATAAGGATAGTGGACTGCTTCCCTTAAGGAAAGCCCAGAGACAAGGTTGAGCGCACTCAAGGATGACCAAGGTTAGGCTGCCATCTTGAGTCTAGGGTCTGCCCATATTGTCACATGTGTACAGTGAACCCTCATTTATCGCGGTTAATCGGTTCTAGACCCTACTGTGATACATGAAATTCCGCGAAGTAGGATTCCTTATTTGTAAATCAAATATTTTCGTAGTTAGAGCATAGAGGACATGAAAAAACACCCTTTAGTCAC